CCCACCCACTCCCCCACCCAGCCCATTTTTGGGAAAAATAGTGGCCAGAAAACAAAATTTGCTGCAGGGCGCCATCGGTTATGGCAGAGCAATTCTGGCAGACACCCCCCGAATTTAAAGGGGCTAGTTTCGCCCCTGACCACATACATTCTTGTGCATTTATTTTCTGACTAAACATTTCGTCAAAGACAAAAAATAATGTTAAGCTAGTCGGTTAAGTTAGTTTCATATTTATTTTGACAATGCAGAGAAAAACGAAAATTCGGTGTCTCGAGAGGGATTTGAATTCCCATCTTCGGGTTTCTAGGTGATCAATTTTTTTTTTGTGTATCCTCCACACTACGTATTTCTTACAATCCATACGTACCTGTAAATTGTACTTAGCGTTTACACATACACGTGGATGTTTACACTCCCGGATGCTATTATTCTTGCTCCTTGCTGGTCCATGACAACAACAACAACAACAACAACAACAACAACAACAACAACAACAACAACAACAACAACAACAACAACAACAACAACAACAACAACAACAACAACAACAGCAACAGCAACAACAACAGCAACAGCAACAGCAACAGCAACAGCAACAACAACAGCAACAACAACAACAGCAACAACAAAATAAAAGGCTCAGTCTACCACAAGGTCGTTTTCACTACGACGACAGTCCATGTCTCTCCGAAATGCTTCACTGAATGACATTGCTTAATTAGTAATTAGTCTAAATTACTTCTTAGTGACTATCAGCTCAATGAGCTGGTAGATCTGTCACTCTGCACAGAATCATGGCCAGAAATACGGACATTAGTAAGGCAGTAGAGTAATGTCCCGGAAGCATTTCTGATTTTCGTGTGAGATGAAAACGTCAGGATTGACACATGTCATGCTTCTCATAATTAAGCACTGCATGACCAATCAGAGGTCTTCCATTACTGGGGAAAATACATGTGAAACCAGGGGAGAGGTTAAATTTAAACATAATTCATTTTAGGAACAACTAACTCGGCCAGTCCAAGATCAGATATTGAATGAACTCAATCAACTGACCGATGTTTGTGATGCCCTTAAATCACTCCATATTGCTATTGGATTTCTGTCGTCTGCTGGGGGAGATCCCTCAATGTCTATCCGTGACTACCTTCATTCAGGATTAAAGATGACGCTTAGAAATGGCTTAAAAAGTGGGAAGGTAAATTTATATTTGAAGGAATATAACTCTTCAATTCAATAGCGTATTTTAGTCAGTTAATTAGCGTACTTTAGTAGCTGTTCACAATAATTGCGGGAACCACTGAGTATTTTCCTAAAATACAATACAACGATGATTCCTGATGATGACTAAATAAAGTCGAAACGTTGAATCAAAATGCTTACTTTATTCGGAGTTACCATTGTATTGTAGCTGTTTACCTTACTGTATCTTGAAACCAAAAAGAAGGCAACATTTTCTTGTTTAATGTCGTTGTAGTTAACGTCGTTGTAGTTACTCTAAGATAAATTTTGAAGAAGCCCAGATTGCAACGTTATTTTTTCTAAGATTGCCTGAAACCAACCGTCTGTGGGAACCAAAATAACACCGAGGGAGATACCTTTGTATAATTAAGGGTTATCCTTGCACTATTCCCCTCCACTTCGGCGAATAATTGTTCATGTTTCTGCTGATGAGTACACAAATTTTCCTTTTTTATAGGCTGAGCAGTTTTGTCAACTGCAACATATTGTATCACTATGGCTGTTGTTATCTTTAGAAAGGGCAAGAGTATTGACAAAGCGTAGACAGGTTTGTAATATAAGAATGATAGGCTACAACTTTAGAAATTTGGGGGAAATCTCGTAATGCATATACAGACTCGTGTTGACATGTAGTATACGATATAATAAAATTGAAAATTACAGGCATTGTTAAGCCGGTTACAAAGGAGCAACTATTCCATGACAAGTTTTTATATTGTATGTGCAACAAATTTTCCATAACACGTTTTTGGTTTTCTGAGTACGAGACGTGAGGAAACGTTCTGATAGCTATTTTAATATATTAAATATTGCCACCATAGATGCTGCAACTGCAAGTGCTCAAATTACTTTGCCATGCAAGTGATCAAATTACTTTGCCTATACCCACAAAGTTTATATCTAGTGCACTTGTTCAAAAGGTAGCATACTAGCTTTTAAACAAATTGTAGATGATGAGATAGATGAATAGATAGACATCGCAACCAAAATACACATCGCAGCCAAAGGCAAAGAGCTGCCAAATTACAAATTCACATCACAGTCAAATTACAAATCGAAATTAGATATGTACAATTAAGCAATTACCAATAGGAAAAGCGAATAATATTGTTAAAATAGTACGGACTATTTTCAATTTAAATTAAATAGTGTAGCGGACGAAGGAGTAAAAGTATTAAAAGCTGTTAGTGTTTTAGAGTAGCCTACTCAGTAAAAACACGAGACTGTCTTAAACACGCCCGTTTCAGTGATAAAGGTTGAGCTAACTTGTGATCAGGTTCATTCACTATTTCACTAAAAGGTTTCTTACACAGTTCCTCACGTTTCGTACTCAGTTTATGAATGCCACCACAGTTATGCCACAGATCAGGGTCTTAGCTAGAGGGCCGTGTTGGCCGTGTTATCGCGGCCAACAGTGGAAAAACACGGCTAGATAAAATGAACGCGGCTTCAATATTCATATAAGGCCGTGTAGGTTCATAAAATAAGGTGGTGCTACTTACAACAGGCAGAATTTCTTCCTATTTGCGTCGTAAGAAAGTTTGTAAAATCTACTGTTGTTGTTGAAATGGCAAAAGTGATTCGTGATGTTTTAATATTTTGATGGATAATGGGAATTGTATATGTATGGTGTTAAAATGGTTTTAAATACCCCCAAGAGTTGCTGAAATAACTTAATATTTTAAGGTGGCTCGCTACAGTTTATAGAAATGTTGAAAATGCGTAAACTAGATCACCTTTTTGAAGAGATGATGCTCTTTACAAATCGAAATTTGTATATTATATATACAGCGACAATCAAACAGTCGAAAATTGGTCAGAAAAGTGACGTAACCACTGTTGCTATGGCAACAATGACGATTCAAGATGGCCGATATTTTGGCTTTGAACGTATTTTACTTTAAAAAAAGGTCGGTTACCCCCATTTTTTATTTCAGAAAACATTTTCTTATAGTGCAATGCACTATCTGACCAATTTTAAAAAAATTCTGTAATGCAAAAAAAAAATTATTTCGAAAAACCATGTTTATAAATTTTTTAGAAATTTGGCATTACAGATTTTTTTAAAAATTGGTCAGATAGTGTATTGTACTATAAGGAAATGTTTTCTGAAATAAAAAATGGGGGTAACCGACCTTTTTTTTAAAGTAAAATGCGTTCAAAGCCAAAATATCTTGAATCGTCATTGTTGCCAATAGCAACAGTGGTGACGTCACTTTTCTGACCAATTTTCGACTGTTTGATTGTCGCTGTATATATAATATACAAATTTTGATTTGTAAAGAGCATCATCTCTTCAAAAAGGTGATCTAGTTTACGCATTTTCAACATTTCTATAAACTGTAGCGAGCCACCTTAATGTCTGTGCGCAATATGAGCGTATGCTCGCCTTGTATTTGGTTGCAAAGCACAGAACAACAACAGGCATTGTCTGTTGTTGGCGAGCATAACTAGAACCGTGATTTTGCTATTCAAGGTAATCTAAAATCCTAGCTAAGACCCTGCCACAGATAGATATGGACTGTCGTCGTAATTTAGGTAGGGGGTAAATATAAGAGACATAACTCGCTTTTGAATACGTTCGATGGCTTTGGAGAAATAATTGGGCAAACCCTAATGGTATGTTTCCGAATAAAAAATGGCGTCTTTTGATAAAGACTAACAATGATATGTCTTACGAGTTCCGAGGTGTTTATATGAGCTTGGCTGACCGGTAAACCGTGGTGATTCGCGAATGTTGACATCTCAATGCTGACATCATAATTTTTCTAATTGTTTTTGAGCTTTATGTGAAATGGCCTTGAGCAGCTTTGAAAGAAGTTAATAAAATATTTCTATACAACCATGCAAAGTGATTTGTATCAGACTTATAAATATACAATTATGCAATGCAACCTATAAGCAGCAGACCGGTTCCACATTGCCAAGAATAGTCATAAGAACTCGTCGAAACAGCAAATTTTTACCTGATGACCATGTGAATAAATTAGGGCAAACTTCATTGTGATTAAACAGCAAGAAGTCATTCAGAAAAATAAAATTTATTTTAACACAGCGGTTTATTCCTTTTTAGGATCCATTTGATGACGTATCGGAGAAGGTGAAGTCTTCACTTGACAAGAAACAGAAATTTGGTTTAAACAGCGGATTACAAAAGCTAAATGTGGATCATTTTGTTGGTGTGTTGCTGGAATTCATTTTGCTTTACTTGAAACATGTTCCTGATGATCAGTTACACTTTCCGTAAGTTTACACAGAAGTTGTTTTATTTATAAATAAGCTTTATAATACGTACTGTGCGCGAAACTGCGCAAAGATTTTGTTGAAACTCCGTTTAGCGTCATTTCAGGATTTTTTGCCTTTAGTTCATAAATACAGGTATGATAAAGTATTACGAAAACCAGATACATTCTCTTGCGCAAAAAAGGTGGCATGTTTTCATGTCAAAACATTTAGCAATGATAAATCCCTGCAACTAAACTATTTCATTGTTAATAATATACATGAACAAAATTCTCAATTCTGATTAGCTAAGAGCAGTGCAATGTTTTCGAAATACAGTGCCAGAAAAAGAAATACTGTACAGTGCATGCAAATTCCTTTGACTGTTTAGCCTATCTGATTGGCTTAAATTATGAAACAATAACAAAGATAGCCAATAAGATATACATTCAACAGTTTCCAGCAGCAGAAATAATAAAAAAAAACATTTTGGAGTTTTGGGAAATGACAAGAATGGCTGGCGTTTTTAGTAGATTTTCTTTGGCAACAGAAAGTGTAATACTGGGGCTCAAAAACAATTCAAAAATGAAAATACTACAAAAAGCGCCCTTTTCTGGTTGAGTGTCTGGAAGAAATGGTGCGTTGAAAAGAAAATTACCAGTCAAATCGAAAATATTTCGCCAGAGGAGTGAAATATTTTCCTTGTGCGCTTTTATGCCGAAGGGAAAAATAAACACGGCGAAGATTACGAACCAGACAGCTTGAAAGTCATGATAACGGGACCAGATAGACACTTGAAGGACAAGGGTTATAAACGTGTAATTATACGAGACACAGAATTTTCCTCTTCCAAGCAAGTACTTGAAGGGAAGGCAAAACAACTCCGCCAGTCAGGACATGGCATGGGCCCAAACAAATCAAGACAACTCTCAGTGAGGGAAGAGGAAATTCCCTGGCAAATGGGTAATTCGATCGGTCGCCAAAGCCCATAAGCATTAGTTAAAACTATGTGGTAGCGCCAGACTTACTCAGCATTTCGGTCTTCGGAAAAGACAATTGCAAGAACATCACGGAATGAGGTTGGAGGACTTCCGTATTGTTAAAGGAGACGGCGGTCTTGAGTCGAGTACAACGAAGGGCCAACTAAGACCAGACAAGCTGGGTTAAATGCTAAACCCAGATATTTCCCGCCAAAGATGTTCCGGACGAGAGGTGAAAGATGTCCATGCAGTAGCATTCTTTTCAGAATATATAAGCCGACGACCTTCCAAGTTTCAACAATGTGGTCCATTTTATGTCTCGGTGAATTAAAAATCAACAGGCGACACGACGATGAAACATGGTACAAAGTCCAACCCATGGGAGTCGATAAGATAAACTCCATGATGAAAGATATATCATCGCTGGAACAACTCTTGATCGAGGCAAGCGAGGAGACGTTTTCCAATCACAATGCCAGCAAAAGATTGGTAGACATAATGAAAAAAGCCATTCTAGAGCGGTCGGGCCTTGCCAAAGTTAGCGGACGCCGAAACATGCAGTCCTTGAACGAAGCAGACGAAAACGAACAGCGAAGTCTTTCGAGGGTTAACTCGAGAACAAACAACCAAGAAAAACAAAAATCTGCCAATTCATCTGTCTTGAGTGCAATGATTTCTCAGATGTTAACTTCTCAAGCGCAGAATCTCGTAAATTCCTTCTCATATTGCAATGTCACATTCAACATCAACAGCAACACTTCGCCCGTAATCACCACTAAAATGGCGATGTCATGTTTTGGACAGTCATTCGGACAGTGATTAACTTGTTGACAGTTTAGTCCACTTTCAACAAGCTCGAATAACTTTTTACTAGAAATACATGCATGCAACAAGCCCTCGCCTATATTCTCCAAACATTGTTTCAACATGAAGTATTCGTAATTACGCCAACACTGAACGCAGGCTCGCGTTGCACGTCATGTTAGTCATGGCAACACGATTATTGTTTTTTAAATTTTTTGTATAAACGTGCAAAAAATAGATGAAACTTGAACACTTTTAAATACAGAACAATCAATTTCTAAAATATATAAAGTACGTATATTATTTTGGTTTCTATGGGCTTTATTTTATTGTATAATTCGAAACCAAATTCTACGTATTAAAAACGTTTTTTAATGGAATTGAAATTATAACGGCTTTTTGCCGATATTAATCTCTTCAACTTATTATTCGCACTTTGAAATGAAATAAATTTAATTCGTACAGCACGCTAATGAAATAATTTGCTTTCCTTTTTATCATGAACTTCTACAAAATTTAATTTAACTAAGGAACTTTCGCATACAATGAATAGGAAAGACTTGAACAACAAGTCTATATTATATTTATGAATATTCAAAGTCGTACATAAACAATTGAAACAAACTTGCCCTATAGGCTATACTTTAAGATTTGTCATACTAAATTAATACTTATAAATGTTTACGTTTAAAAATTGAAAAAAAGTTTTACAATTTGTTATGTGAAACGATTTTCCAAGCTTTCTTACATGTATTTTTTATATTTTCTCCTTCTTCAGTCCTGGCAAACAGCCATATTTTGAGTTCAGTGTGATGACCACCCATACACCCATGAACCGCGACCGCGATATTTGATGAACTTTAGACTTCGCTAGTGCTTTCTTTTCCCCGGGTGTAAATAGCCTGGCGGAATTAGTACCCTCGCCCCGGGCTTACCCCCGGAACGGCGCTCTGGCTCGAGGATAATACGTTTTGGATTCTGACAGTTATAACGTACACAGTGACAATTGTATATTTGTTTTTATATATTATTCTGTTTTTGTGTAAATTCAAATAAATGAATAAATTAATTCCATGTGACTTACGCACGTGAGTGCATAATTTTTTAATTTATTATATTCATTTTGAAATCATTGGTGTTTCGTGCAATCTGATTGGTTAACAGGAGTGCGATTCGTGCTGAAATCGCACCTTCTTTCAACCAATCGCATTCGAGTACTGTAACCAATCCTATTTAATCATATAATTCAAACAGCCAATCAATTTTAAGAAAAGTGTGATATGGCAAATGAGCATAAACAAAAATTTACATATGTCATGATTAGCCGTGAGTGCCTAAGCACTTTTTTGCACATAAAAACAAAAAAATATGGGTAGCTACGGTAAACTATCAAAGAATTGCAAAGAATTTTAATTTTTTTGAATTTTCACAAATAGTAACAGGCAAAAATGCGAACAAAAGCAAATTTAAAGCGTCTGGGAAAACAAAGGTAAATTCCCTTATCGTATTTCCAATTTTAAAAGCACAAAACTGCACCAAAACTCTTTCAAATCACTCGTAAAACCTACAATATGTTTAAACTTACTTGTGTTGTCTCTTATTCTTTATAAATGTCTTCGTTTCTTTATGAGAAATTTAAGAAAACTAAGTTGATCGTGTTCGCTTATTGTTGCTATGCTATAGCACTCAGGGAGGTACCGGAGGTGTGTCTTTTGCAAACAAAAACGTTTCCGGTTTACAAAAATACTTGAGATTACAAAAATACTTCGTTTTGAACGAATATAATAAAGTGGAAATTGAACTTCGTGCATGTCGTGCAATTTTGGACTGATATCAAACTTGTGATTACAAATCGACCTCCCACTTCGCGGTCGTGCGATTTTGTAATCACGCGTTTGATTTCAGTCCAAATTGCACTCCACTCAGTTCAATAACCATTATGTATATTATTAAAAAGTAACAGTATTGTTTCTCGTGCAATTTGGAAAAACATGTACTCGTGAGTTTTTCAAAGACTTCAGATTGCACTCGTCCTTCGGAGTCTTTGAAAAACTCACTCGTCCATGTTGCGCTCGAAACCATACTATTACCTATACAAACAGTGAAATACAGTGAATAGTGAAATATCCATTTTGATGTTCCGCAACGACCATCCCAATATACACAATGATTAAATAAAAGTGGCGATATGTACATGTACGCGAATGACACTACTCTATGTAACGAGTTTGCCAACTCTTCGCCCATTGTGGTAAAACAAAATGATTATTTCAAAATTTAGAAATTTTTACGATATTTCTGGCAAAGGAACGAACATACATGCATGCACTGAGACTCTCGCCTTGCTGACAAAACCATTGTATTTTCCGAACATGAAGTACTTAAAGTAGTTGTCATGGTAACACGATAATTTTATTAAGAATATTTTTACAATTGAAAAATCCCCTAAAAATATCACTTTTAATTTTTAAATTAAATGATCAATTTCCCAAACATATATATGTTAAGTATGTTATTATACGTAGTATAAGCTTCAATTGAATGTAAAATTCAACCACAAACGCTTCGCAAAACGTTTTAAAATGCTCTTTATATTAAAAACTTAACTGCCTTTATCGATAAACTTTGAGTTTGAAATAAAATTATTTCAAATTCTTGCATGCAAATAACTTTGCTTTCTTAGTAGTTTTTTTTTATTTAAAAAAATTTAATATAATAAAAAAGGGGTAATCAATAAAGATACACTGAAATTATATGCTGCCTTTTTTCATTTAAAAATCTACGCAACGATCAGATTTTAAAATAATTAGCTAATATAAAGCAAACAATAGTTACATCAATATTTAAATCTTACCTTCGTTAACATCGGCGCCTTTGCTCCCTTCTATAGCAATTCCATTTGCCTTTTTTTCTCAAAAAGCTTTTGAAATTTACAAAATCTTGCAAAAATGAAATATATTTGCAAGAAATCATCAAATCTATTTAGCTGTCGTCATGCAGTCGTTATAATGCAAATTTTGAATTGGACCAATCAGTGTTCGCTTTTCATGACAGTCCGCTATATTTTGAGATCAGTGAGGATGGCCACCCACGGTTGGTCACCTACGCTCGCGATCATTGATGAACTTTAGACTTCGCTAATGCTTTCCTTTCCCCGGGGCTAAATAGCCGGGCGGAATGACGGAATGGACTTTACAAAATGAAATGGGGGTACTGTCTCGCAATACCAAGGTGTAAAAGTTCTGATGCATGCTTTGACAAAATGTCGTACCAATATACGAAAATATAAATGCACAAATGTTTATCAGAGTTAGACAGGACTACATCAACTTTTTCTTATTTTGTATATGTAGATAAATTATTCATTTAGACTCTCAATGTGTTAATTCGTGGTCTGTTAAGACAGGGTGTCACGAGTCTGCTCAATAACCTAGGTGAATTGTCCACACCCCATTAACATATAATATGTTTCATTACTTTAGTTTATCGGAGTACATCAATGCCAAACTAGAGGAAAAGGATTGTGATGTCATTGATGGTCTAGAGGATTATATACCGGAGGATATCAAAGTGGAACATGCCGTGGAAGCTTGGAAAGTTGCCTGCCAGAAAAGCGAAGATTACCACTCAAGGATGCAGGAGTAATTTGTGGAGAATTTTTGTCCATTTATGATTTTTATATGACTTATAATTTACATCAGATTAATTAATCATCGACTCAGCGAGAAAGATTATTTAACGTATAATTTCAAAACCTTACACATATCTTACATAAATTAGACCAATAGTACAATTGGTATCACATTCTTTTTTCATTCAATATATTTTGCATGCATTTATTTTGGGAAAATAAATTTTTGATCGCTTTAACAGTTCTTTCGGGTTTCGCATAGTCCGTAAGTCATTAACACCATTGGAAATACCAAATGAGTGTAAAATTGGTATGATTACGATATATTTGAACCGTATATATGGTCTTTATCAGAGGCAGATCAGGTTTGGAAATAAATTAAGAATGTCCGACTCATTGGTTTTTAACCATCTATCAAATTAGTGCAGAATAGTTGCCATTAAACCAACTAATGGTTTTGCCACAATTGATTATGCGAAATGCAAGGTGCGTCTTAAGTAATATGAAATGACCGAGAATGACTAAGTGTATTGCGTTCGACGGGAAAGGAAACGCGCTACAGAGTACACTTTGCAATACTGACTTTTTAAATTGCCGTTTGCAGTAACGGAAGGAAATTGTGTTAGTTAAATTTCATGTTGTTTTCATACTTACACAAAGCCCCACAAACAAGACGCCTGCTCAGGCGTTCACACTGACCTGAAAATGACGACAGAGTGCAACACAAAAATGAACACAAGTACACAATGGGTGTTTATGGGTGTACAACGTCTATTTATAGTTGTTTATTAAAACGTCAAACCATTAACTAAACTGTCATACATTTAACTTGTCCTTGTTTATATTTCACTATATTGTATAAATTCGCTGGGCCCAAATTGGGGGGTTTTCGAGTCGTTACACAAAGAAAAACACATTAATTCAACATGCAAGAAAGTCCAGAGTGCGACACAACGTAAAATCCATAGGAAACCGGCACAATTTTTTGGAAATTCAACAAAACTGTGTGAAATATATTTCGATCACTCAGTGAAAAGCTGCCATTTTGAAACTGGACTGAATATGTTACTGGAGCACTCTACCCTTGGAGTTCGGAATTGTGCGCGTGCATACAAGTGTATGGGCTAATAAACGAAAAATGTACCTAAATACGAGGTTGTTGTTATAGTATTTAAATCCAGGAAGGATGGCATTTTGGCTTAATGGTTGCACCTTGAGCCTGCGATGCCCTAACGCAAACTCGATTTTTCGACGACGAAAAAAACAGGGGAAAACGCGGTATATACTTTGTGTACCCCTATTATAATTTATCAAGGCTAATCCCTGACCCCAACCCCTCCCCTAACCTCTAATCCCGAGTGTGTTTAAACGAAATTAGGAACGCGCTAGAAGTTATATAGTGGAAGAAGACGATTAATAACATTCAACAACATTTTTTTTTTGTCTAGAACATGGAATTTCATACAATTTGTAACTAAGCAATTTTGTTAGATCACGAACTGCGACTTAGACCCGTTTCAGACGGCGTACTTCTCATTTGCCGAACTTAATTGATGGATTAGGTACGGCAGAAGAGCGACGTATGAATCAATTAAGTACGGCAGAATTTGGAGCGGCAAAAGTTCGACACAAGTTCGGCAGAGCTTGTCACATTATGCGACGTTGGAGCGACATTGATTCATACGCCGCTCCACTGATGTGCCAAATCTAACTCAACTTTAGTCTAAAAATAAACTTATTTATTTTGAATATTATTTAGGTTTCGCTGGCGAATGCGCCCTGACCTTGTCAATAACATTGTATTTGGTACGCCGTTTGAATCACTGCCGTTCTTATGTCGCATCTAATACAATTAAGTTCGGCACATGAAGAGTACGCCGTCTGAAACGGGCCTTATTTCAATTGCTCAAAATACGCCACACTTCATTGAATCCCGGGTAAACGAGACCATACAAACAGCCCCTTAATACAAACATCAGAGAACTCCTTGTCAGTCGACCTACGATAAATATGGAAGAATGTTTAACTGAGCTAGGATTTCCAAGGTCGCGGGTTTGCGCCAGAATTTTCTGCTTGCGCGGTTCGGAATTATTCACTCGAGAACACTTCATAAATTATGTGTATACATGTATATCGCTTGATATAACAATTGAAGTGTTATTGAAGGATTTTTCCAATGGAAATTTCAAGCGAAAGATTATATACAATTTTAGATCAACAGGGTGTCCCCAAAAAACGCGTGAAACAACACATTGTTAAAATTTGAATGCCCTAGCACTAAGCTGAACGCAAAGATGCGTAAAATATTGACAAGGGTGCATATATTAAATATTGACGTATTAAGAAATTAAAATATCTTTGTCAAGCGCACGATTTTCTGCTCCAGATAAAACCCTGGGTACGAGGATGTTTCTGCTCTTGGGAATTTAAAACAGCTTCTTAAACGGTTTCGTTATGCATAAAATTTATTTTACGTCAAGCTTTTAGGACTTTTAGATGCACTTGTGGGTTCAGCACTCAGAGTGCTGAGGCATTCAAATTCTAACAATACGTTATTTCAATAGTTTTCGGGTTTTTTGGGACACCCTGTATAACCAGGAGCTATAGTTGCGTTTTTCGCAGCTGCTCCTGGTTAGGATTAAAATTGTATACCTTACTTGTATTAAAATTCGCGCAGTACTAGAATTGGCGCAGCGCTGGGTGCGCGAAGTTTAGTACTGCGCGAAATATAATCGGGGCGAAAAGCTTTGTGGTGTAATATGAGACACTCACTGTTAGTAATGCAAATCAGTTGAGTTATTAACTGTTTTGCATTACTATTTGCGTTATGTTATTGTATTAGGCAAATGAGAACCAAACAATATTTTTTTAGTTCTTGTTGGTATTTTGAACTGACGCTTTATTAATTGTTTTCATGAATTTTGCTCATATTACATAACTTTGAAGCGATTTTGAGGTCACCTAATTGCTTTTCGAGTAAGTTCTAACAAATATTGAAGTATTTCTTAATAAAAAATACTCATTACAACAAACACGGAAAATTACTTGCGCGAATTTAAAGCTGCGCGAATAAAGGCCCATACAGACCGGACGTGATTTGGCAACGCGACGTGAATTTCCAGTTTTCAATGGCATTTAACTTTAATATTTTTCAATGTTTTTGAAATAGTCGGAACCACTGAAGCAATTTTAGCTATTTGGTCTGCATATCTTGTAAAATTTTTATCCGTTGACGGTTTTATTTGTTTTTGAAAACTGAAAAGTCGCGTTGCTGAATCGCGTCCGCCGGTCTGTGTAATTAAATCGCGCGAATGACGGCCGGTGACAGCACGGTGACTCAACGTACCCAGACATGCGCAGAGCGTAATGGGGTCAGAGTGCTCAAACGCAGATGTGGTCACAAGGGAAGTGAGCTCTGCATTATCGGAACGTATTAGTACAATCTGCAGACATGCATGTTTCGGCTTTCTACGCCGGTGACTTCCCACTAGTCCGAAGGTTCACTAGTCTGAAGGTTCACTACTCCGAAGGTTCACTAGTCCAAAACGTACGCTGGTTTTGAATTGCAAAAACGTGTTAGACTTGGCTGCTTAATATCGCAGTTAATTTAAGCATTTTTCGTACCTGCATACACGCACGGAAAAATTTAACTATCCACTTCTTTTGTCATAATTAAATGAATAAAAGGATAGCATTTAGTTTTGTGTTTGATTTTAAATGTATTTTTTAAGTAATTATTATACTTATACCGGTATAAAATTTAGAAAGATTTAAAAACTTTTCCGAGTATATATATATATATATATATATATATAGATAAGCCAATTCTATATATATATATATATATATATATATATATATATATATATAGATAAGCCAATTCTATAACATTTTTCATAGCTAATAATTAGTGCATGACGTAGCCTTATAATGATAGATTAGAGGATAGAGTTTCAAACACTTAAGTTAGGCGTAACAGGTACAGAGAGTTAGTGTGAAGTGAATCTTAGTGTGAGACAGAGTGAATGTAACAACGGTGACAAGTGTGACTTGTATAGCCCGTGCGCTAATTTGGGATTTGGGATATCGTGATTGTGAGAATTTTACCTTTTAATGCATTAGTTTTATTTGTGGATCTTTTAATAAAACCTATAAACCAAAAAGAGTGATTGTGTCGAGAACTACAGTTCAACGGAGGGAACATTTTCGACATATATATATATATATATATATACGTGAAAAAATGCGCAACTTAAAAGCAGCCTTAAACGTCCAATCACTATACGGCAGCTTTCAAGTTGCGCATTTTTTCACGTACTGCATAATTATATACACTCGGAAAAGTTTAAATCTTTCTGTATTTTATATCGGTATAAGTTTAATAATTACTTTAAAAATACATTTAAAATCAAACACAAAACTAAATGCTATCCTTTTATTCATTTAATTATTTCTTAAGTGGACAAAAGACTTTCAAGTGAATTTAAATTTTTCCGTGCGTGTAATATATATGCAAGTACGAAAAATGCTTCACTGGGAAGTAGCCAAGTTTAACACGTAATTGCAATTCAAAACCAGCGTATGTTTTGGACTAGTGAACCTTCGGAATAGTGAACCTTCGGAGTATTGAACCTTCGAACTAGTGAACCTTCGGACTATATAGTGAACCGTAACCTAAATACGAGTGTCTCACGTATCTAGACTTGTACCAAGCTGCACTGACGAGGCGTAGAGGCGTAGAGTTGCTCTCACCAAGGCATGTGGTACAGCACGGTTACTCAATGCACCCAGACATGCGCAGAGCGTAATGGGGCCAGAGTGCTCAAACGACCACAAGGGAAGTGAGCTTTGCTTTATATACATATATATATATATATATATATATATATATATATATATATATATATATATATATATATATATATATATATATATATATATATATATATATATATATATATATATATATATATATATATATATATACTGCGGATTCAGGTAGACCGTTTAATGCGAATAGTTGTCGCGTGAGTTTTAACAGTTGTACTGATGACGTTTCTAGGCAGATTTTCGACGTTTCTAAGGCGTGGCTTCAACGTTTATTTTTAAAATTTGAACGTTGTAATTACAAGGTAATTGCTAAATAATATACTTCAAAATAAGGTTTCCGTTTTTATATCAATTTTTTAAATAAGTTAGGGTTAGGTAAGGGTTTAGTTTTGCGTTAGGATGATTTTTTCTACGTTATAAAAACGGAAACCTTATTTTGAAGTATATTATTTAGCAATTACCTTGTAATTACAACGTTCAAATTTTAAAAATAAACGTTGAAGCCACGCCTTAGAAACGTCGAAAATCTGCCTAGAAACGTCATCGTGCAACTGTTAAAACTAACGCGACAACTATTCGCATTAAACGGTCTACCTGAATCCGCAGTATATATATATATATATATATTTATATCTTAAAATTAATTATTGCTACTCAAGTTTCACGCCTTATTCAAGACGATCTTCAGGCAATTAACCTGAAGATCGTCTTGAATAAGGCGTGAAACTTGAGTAGCAATAATTAATTTTAAGATATAAATATATCTTGCTCTACTATAATACTAGTGTTGAGCACTTTATTATCTACTACAATTCAGTTAGTTGCCTGAAGATCGTCTTGAATAAGGCGTGAAACTTGAGTAGCAATAATTAATTTTAAGATATAAATATATCTTGCTCTACTATAATACTAGTGTTGAGCACTTTATTATCTACTACAACAAAACAAGTTATATATATATATATATATATATATATATATATATATATATATATATATATATATATATATATATATATATATATATATATATATATTAAAATTTCCCCAAAAATGTTTAAAAATCAGTTTAGTATAATTGTTTAGAATAGAATTATACTTTATCTTTGCACTTCTACGCCTATAAGTGTTTTATTTATTATGTTGTATATAAATCTGGTAATCAGGTCGCGGGTTCAAGACCCAGCCGCGGCAGACATCTTTCTGCTTGCGCTGGGTATGGAAATTATATATTACACACTCTAGAACAGATTAGAAGACAAACTTGAATTACTTCATATGAACTTTATTTCACTACAAATTTGTTTCGTATGACAAGACGAGTCTTGCCACACTCATCAGGTGAATTTAAATAACGCGCTATGTTGTTGCCTAGGATATACTATGTACATGTTTGAGGTCAAAAGTGTTATATTACAATGTTATTTATAATCTATTTATTGCTCAACAGGAATTTGTTCCGGTGTCTACATTTCGACAATAGTTCATTTCTAGAGTTCAAGGAGCTGAGTTTAGGATAATAAATAATTAGACATTTTTCTTGCAGGCATAAGTTGCATCGTTTGGTTTTGTTTGAGTAGCTTTTACAATTTTTCATAATTCTCCATTTAAATTAATGGAGTATTTTACGCTAGACTCTTTCAAATGCCAGACATATTTACTTAGTTCTGTAGCATGTTTGTATCTGGAGTTTCTGTAGAGTCGTTTGATTCTTAGTTGTTTTGTTTTGTTTTGTGTTTTGTGTTTTGTGTTTTGTGTTTTGTGTTTTGTTTTGTTTTGTTTTGTGAGTATTGTCTTGTTATGACCAGAGACAATATTTAGTACAGATTCTGTACTAAATTTATTCTGCTTTGTCCTGATTGGCACGGTTTAATCAAAGAATCTTCCCGCTGAACCAGAGCCTTCGCGAAGGCTATGGAATCCAGGGTACTGACGCAGCTATGGAAAAGCTAGCGTATAGGGAAAAGCCAGATCAGTGATCAGGTTATTCCAGCTATATATAGAGGTCATAGCACAGAAACGAGGGGCAATTCTGGGAAAACCCTTTATTGTTTCCAGGTATCGGTTGAATGTTTGATTCACTTTCGATTTGACGTTTAATTCAATGAGAAGCTTTACAGATTGTGAGCAAAGCATTTTTACAATATCGTTCGAATGTAGGCCGCATTTTTGAAGGTTTTGCTCGTATGGAAGGCGAAAGGGAGAAATCTCCCATTAATGCCGAACAACAAGCGGAGAATATCGATTCAGCTGTGTCCAATGGCCAAGAAACGAGTGGACAACCATCGTCTGCGACATCTGCGCTGAGTTCTATTAAACCTGAGAGTCCCGGGAAACACACGGATAGCAGTGAAAGAGCTTTGAGTGGTATGTATTTTAATCAGTTAGAGCTTCACGAAAGACTCAGGAATTTCGTCAGTACCGATCGGAGTAGCGCACAGATCGACATGAGCTCATAAACACTTTCGATATGGATTTCAAAACTTCAGTTGTCTTGCCCGGGCAGATGCATGCTCCCACGTCTGAAAGTTTAATTTTAGAGTTCCAGAATAGCCATTTCCTCAATTTAAAAGGTGGGATCGTTTCCCGAAATATTTCCCCAACAAATTTTAAGTTTAATTCACGTAGCAATTTATATCTTCTGCAAATATTAAATTTTGCTTCAAAATCGTCGAAGGTCTTGAAATAAATTGCGTAACCCAGGACTCCAGGAACATGTTAAAATTCAACAAGACACAAGTCCTGAACGGCCGTTGATGTAAAAACTTTAAAACCTAAAACTTCTATTGATCTGTACAAGGTTTCTGAAGAAATATTTCCATGTTTATGAACAAGCTGTTGGAAAGTTTGCTCAGAAAATATGTAAACACAGACTTTGCAAGAACTGCAGATCTGGCAGTTGCAAGGTGAAATATGCCATGTTAAACTTGACTGAGATTGAAATGCATACTGAAGATGTAGGCTATAATAGCTAAATCAGGCCCTAGCATTTTACAATAGATTTTGTAATAATTGCCTAGCTGTTAATTGAAGATTTACTTTAATTGCTTCCATTTTGTAAACTAAAAGGCCTTTGTGAAATCCACAGATAATATCCTGTTACAATACATGTAGGTAATGTCCTACCATATGCTCAAATCAGACTATATTACAGTCACACTAAGATTTTAAGAAGCTGAGCAATTTATGTCAGTATAGCAAAAGATTGTGTTGTCAGTTATGCAACAGTCATTTGAAACCCCGACCCCCCCTCCTCGGGGATACCTGGGGCATAACGGGGATATTCGCCTTGTTTTCACCATTTTGTCCTTCCCCGGTCACTGGGAAATTGCAAACTTTCACTGCACTGGCCATCAGGTTGGGGCCAATATGTGCGGGCGATTCACACATTCCCGAAAATACTTTACAAGTCTTCAGCAATGCATTGGCCTCCTTCAGTTATTAAATATGGTTTGAATTGTCTTTGGTTTACGCTTGCTATTTTTAGTTTGTGTGACGTACATGATGCTGCATGACATTTCATCCAAATTGTTTTAGGGCAGGCAGCGTAATGTTTAAAGCAGGTGTAGAACAGCGAGTTATGTAACGCAGTGAAAACATTTAATAAAAAGTTTCCAAAAACGAAATTTTGCAATCAGATTACCATATAAGGAAAAAAATTATATGTAAAACAATAAAATTGTATGTAATGTTTCAGTCACAGTTTGACATGTTATTATTACTATCATGTTTTGTCAGGGTTTTAACTTGAGTGCATGAGATTTCCGGGATGTCACATGTATAAAAAGGCTCTCACATAGCGATTTTAAAAGCTACCTATATTGAATATCAATGGAAAAGGCGGGGGGGAGGGGGTGACTGGGGAATTAATCAATGTTCACACACAAAGAGAGTGAATTCCCCCGGTGTCTCCGAGGTGGGGGGGGGGGGTGTCAGGGATTTCAAATGACTGGTGCAGATCCCATTTGCTTGTAGCATATAACTTGAACCAGGACCAGGTCAATTATGTACCAGCTGGGCATGGTAATTTGGCAGATGATATCATCAGATATGATGCTATTTTTAATGATATGATGATATTTTTCAAATACCAGAAATGTTGATGAAAAATCTGGAATATTTGGGAAGGCTTATATACGGACAACATTTTGTGTTAGTAATAATAACTTACTGACCGAGTGTGAGGGCAGTACGGGAAAATATCCAACCGAGGTCTTGCTGTATTGACCGAGCGACAGCGAGGTAAATACAGCAAGACCTCAGTTGGATATTTTCCCGTACTGCCCGAACGATTGAGGTCAGTAAGTTTTTTATTATATGGCATCGTACATTTGTAAAAAATGGGAAAAAAGGTCACGCGAGGGCAAAGTCCAAAGTCCGAAACATTTGCAAAAAAGAACATTTGTAAAAAATAGGTACGCAATGCGTACATGTGGCTAGCCAAAATTTGTTACTAACAAATTTTGGCA